GCCTTTGGCAGTCACAGCTCAAATTGTCCAAATGCCTTTGGTCCAAATTGAGCTTCAGTTCAGTTGGCCTTTGCTTCTTCTTCTTCTCGTCCTCTGCTTTCAGCATGAAGCTGTGGTCATTAATACCGAAAGATCTCCCAAAAAGGTGGGAGAGGAGGTATGGGGGACAAAGGAAGTTTTCTATGGAGATAGCTAGCTCCAGGCACTATATCCATTAGGAACAGAAACGGAACAACCCACCACATCTCTTTAAATACTGGTTGCTCTGGTCTCACTCGGGCCTTTTCTTTCATAACATGTGGCTTGATTTACAGCTATTATTCCCAACCTAAATTTCCTAAATAGTGCACAGAGCTGCCTCCATTTACCCCACAAGTCTCATGAATAACCAGATTTGGTCATAGTGGCCATGTGTATGACTCTTTGCGTCAGCCTGCGTGGGCCTAAATGCTGTTTTTAACCCTTAGAGTCTGGGGGCAAATGTTGACTCATTTTGATGTTTGCTGCATCGATTTCTTCATCAGACAATCAGAAGAGCAGACGGTGGGAGAGTAACCCATCCCTGCACACTGACAGGGAATAAATAGAATGAAATAAAGCATGTTAAGTGTTCAGGCCTGGATTTATGATGCAGGACATAAAAAATTTGCAAACCCCTTTGCCATAAACTCTGCATTCAATTGAGTGCCTTTGTGTGTTTTGAGCATTTGTTACGTGCAACCACTGCACATACACTTTACTTATATGACATGGCCTCATTCCCAAAGCCCTCTGAGGGTAGACAGTGTCAGCTCCATTTTACAAACAGAAAATACAGGTGCCTTGTCCCTGACTTACAAAAGCTCTTTTTCTAGTGCACTAAAAGATTTCAAAGTCTCTTTCTGACAAACGGGAACACTAATTCTCAATAGAAATCAAAAGTAAACCTTTTGATCCAGAGGAAGGAAGGGAACCAGAGTCCTGTTCCCTCAGCCTTTGCCTTGCCCACCACGGCATGTCTGGCTGTGGTGTCCACTGCAATAGCCCCCAGCCACATGTAACCATGTCCATTAGCATTCAATCAAATAAAGAATGCAGCTCCCCAGTTGCATTAACTGCATTTTAAAGGCTCCCTACCCTGTTGGGAGAGTGTTGATATAGAGTGTTTTCATCAGCAAAGAAAGTTTCAGCAGACAATGGAGGGTTTGTATTGCAGAGTTAGGGCATATCACTGATGAATCCCAGACTCCCTTACCCTTTCAAAACCTTGTCTGGTCATAGAAGAAATAGGGAAACAAGCACAATATTTATGATACCTCCCTGCTGGGCAGTTGTGAGGCCCCATGGGATGATGTATGCAAAATGCCATGTAATGTTTTATAACGCACCTTGGAAACAATGGCCATTTGTATCAGAGCAGGCAGTAAGACCCCAGGATGCCTTCAAAAACAGAAGTATCTATGGGATTATGTCTAGGTCCCAGCTCTCTGATCACTGACCAGAGAGAAACCCAGTCCTGCAGTTTCATGTGTTAACATTATAGCCATTCTAATTTTTGGGGGTTTTTTTGGTACCGGGGATCAAACTCGGATCCTTTTGCTTGCGAGGCAAACGACAGAACCACTGAGCTAAATCCCCGGCCCTATATCCATTCTTATGTGGCCACAGACCATGGAGAGTCCAGCCAGGAAAGGCAGGTCCATCTGTGGCTCTCCATGGCCACAGCCCCGAGCCTGTGTCTCTCAGTCCACCCCAGGTAGCTATTTAGAATCAACCATGTCTGGCAAAGAATCATCCTGCCTTTAGTTGACAGTATCATATTTTTGCAAACTTTTCTCACTTTCTCTTTCTGCTCATCTGGCTGTTTATTGCTCAGCAGATTTTTCATGAAATATGGTACTAATTTACAGAAATCTGTGCCTGTCCCTAAAAATACCAATATACACTGCTGTTGGACAACTTTTGTATGGTTGCCAGGTATTTCTTTTGATTTCCATCACTGCAGTGCATTGGTGTAGGCTGGATTAGCAAGATGGGAAGGGCTTCATCCCATGAATACCAACAGATGGCATTAACTTTTGATGGCTCCATGAAAACCTATTCTATGTGTGTGTGTTTATGCTTCCTTTTTGAGGAACTGTGAGAAGAGAGGTTGCTGAGACTTAGAAAGTCTTCATAAAACCAAGATTCTCAGCATCTCTATGACAACTTTAATATATGAAGTATTTATGTTGCAGGTGCCTAGGCTCCATCAAGAAGGCAAATGCCATCTGTGACTTAAGTCCTCAGGATGCCTATGTAATCCAGATGTCTCAGTTTCCCCATTGATAGTACTAGGAACTGACTCTTGGCTCACAGAATCAAGCCTGCCTCAGCCGGACCATGATGAGAAACCAACAATAGGAAATGAGGAAGTGGTTTAGATTACACCATCACCTACACCTAACCATTGACAGTGCCCAGCTCTCTTCTGTTACTTGGATGATCTGATTCCTTTAGAAGGCTCTCGGAGCCTAATACCAAATCTCTGATCTTCCAACCTTGGGGTAAAAACTTTAAAGTCTTTCTATGGGAAACACAAGTCCTATAGTTTTGTCCCACTTCTAATCATTCCAAAAACAAAAACAAAAACAAACAAAAAAATGAAAATGAAGAATACATCTATAAACCTTCCAAATTGTTTTGTTTCCACAGGGAGCCCTTCAGCAGCTGTCTCTAAAAGAATGCAGCATTGCACATACTCTCCCAGCCACTTTCATTTTTCTTTGGCTCGCTGTTTTATGTTTCCTTGTTAAAGAAAGGCGATAAAGTTTAGAATATGTCAGGAAGTTGAGTAATCTCTGACTTGGTTTTCCTACCTATTTGAGGAGTTTGAGACATCCGTCTCTGTATTAAAGGGTGATTATTTCAGCCTCCTTAAATAAGTTTAAAATTTAGAAACAATATGCACGTGTTGATCAGGAATGTCCCCCAGAGGCCTCATGTGCTCATAGGCAGGGCTTTCAGGAGGTGATTGAACTGTGGTGGGGGTGTGGCTGATTGCAGATAGGACATACGGTCAGGTTGGAGGAGCCAGGCCACTGGGCGAGTCAACCTGGAAACCTGTATCTTTCCCAGTCCTCACTTCTCTCACTCCTTCCTGGGACAGAACAGCTTTTCCTCCACTGTGCCCCTCTGCCATGCTGTTCTACATTGGAGCCAACCTGCCATGGACTAAACCACGAACCCAAATAAACCTCTGTTCCTTTAAATTGTGGGTGCTGGGTATTGTATCTCAGCAACAAAGAGAGTGACTAAGACAGTACATTCTCATCTTTAGGGTTCTGAGTAGTGACTGGACCCAGCCGGGTCATTGTTAAGATTGCACTCTACTTGTCTTTTAGGAAATGCTGAGCGTGTTTCCTGGGGGATAAAGAACTTCTGGAAGGATGACAGTGCTCCCAATTTTGAACTGCATGGTGATTTCAAAGTGTGTACATAGGCAAAATTTTGAGTTCTTTTATTGCATATGGGTTTTACCTCAATAAAAATAAATATATCAAAAAGAAAAGAAGTGTGTGTTTATTGACATGGAAATGCATTTACTTGGTGTGAAATGAGAAAAGAAAGTAATTTGTGAAATAATTGGAATGATATAAATCTGTTTTGGGATCAATCTGTTTTTGTAAATACATCGTAATGAAACACAATGGAGCTCATTTGCTTATGTATTATCTATTGCTTTGGTGCTGTGTATTAGTTTGCTTGGTCTGCCCTGAAAAAGTAACACAACCCGAGTGGCTTAAGCCACAGAAATTTCCGGTCTCACGATTAGGAGGCTGGAAATCTGAGATGGAGGTGTTCCCATGCTGTCTCTGCAGGTCATGGGAAGGATTTGCTGCAGGCCCCTCTCCTGGCTTCTGCTGGTCCCTGGGCTGTGGCAGCATGAGGCCAGTCTTCATGTGATGCTGTCCCTGTGTGGTGATTTAGCTGCCCCCTCCTTGTTTTCCTTTTTGCAATACTGAGGATTGAACCCAAAGCCTTTGCACTAAGCTGTATCACAGCCCTTTAAACATTTTTAACACAGGGTTTTTTTTAAGTCATTAAGTTGCCCAGTGACTTATTTCCTTTTTTTCTCTTGAAGAACACCAGACATATTGAATTAGGGGCCCACCGTACTCCTGTGTGATCATATCTTAACTAGTTACATCTGTAACATCTCTCTCTCCAAATAAGGCCACATCCAATATATGGGTATGAGGACTTCAACATATGATTTTTTTACCCCCGTTTTTTTTGAGGGAGAGATATTTCAGCCCATGACACCCTACAACAGCAGAGTTGAGTGACTGCAACCAGGATTGTGTGGCCAGTAAAACCTAAATCTATGTTCTTTACATTAAAAGTTTGCCAACCCCTCTGCGTGTGTGTATGTGTGAGCGCACACACACAAAGACCTTGAGAGTCTGCTCATACATATGTTACGATAGTCTCTGAGTTACAGAATTATGGATTATAGAATTTTATAATCAGTTATAGAATTTAAATTTTACTTATATTCTTAATACTTTTCTATATAATTTGTGTTTTTAAAATTTATTATGTAATAATTTAAAAAATATAAACCAATAGTCAAGGTGTTTCTTTTGGGAGGAAAAGACACCATTGCTATTTAGCTCCTGTCTCCTTTCTGCACACTGGCTCTGTAGTTTATGGCGCTCTGCTTCAAATCTTTGTAAAGAAGTTACCATTCCCCACTGCTGGGAGGTGTTAAGGACAAACACTTAGCAAACCAGAAAACCTGTCTATTTACTCACTTGGGTACATGGATTCTTCGTGTCTTTATTTAGCTGTCTCTTATAAGTTGGAGAGAAAAGGTTTTGGCTTTTATCTCTTCATTTAAAATAGATCCCTTTATGACGAGGATGGAGAAGCCATGAATCATCATCTCCAGCGTGTGTGATGCTAGATCAGACCTCTGAAATGGGGCCTTGAGCTGGTACCAGGCCATCCCCATGACTCCGGGTTTTTTGTTGTTTCAGGAAGTTGGATGCCTTCATCTATGATGCAGCAGTCTTGAACTACAAGGCTGGGAGGGATGAAGGCTGCAAGCTGGTGACCATTGGGAGTGGGTACATCTTTGCCACCACTGGCTATGGAATCGCCCTCCAGAAGGGATCACCCTGGAAGAGGCAGATTGACCTGGCTCTGCTCCAGTTTGTGGGTGATGGTAAGACCTCCTCGGGATACCCCCTACTTTGAGGAGACTTGAGATCCTCACATGGTTTTCCAAGATGTACCCACTGTGCCACAAGTTAAGTGCCTATCATGTGATGCATGCTTCCTTAGGTTGCTTAAAATGGAATCCAATTCTAGATAGCCAATTTTTTAAAAAAGAAAATTATTTTAAGGATACAAAAACATTTCTCTCAGTGAATTTAAGAGGGTTGAACAAATAGGTTTAGAACAAAACAAGACCCATGGCAGTCCTTGTACCTCAAATCTGGGAATCCAGAGGTCCTTTCTCTGTAGAGGTGGTTCTCAGTGAAAGAGGGGCAATTTTGCCTCTCTGAGAACATTTGACAATGTCTGGAGACATTGTCAGTGGTCACAACAAGGAAGGTGTTAGCTACTAGCATCTAGTGAATAGAGGCTTGGCATGAAGGCTGTTGGCAAACATCTTACAATGCCCAGGCCACCCCCATACATCTCAAAATAGAATTATGTGATGCTAAATGTCAGTAGTATGGCATTGAGAAATTTTGCTCTGGAGTATTATGTAAGTAGGCTGCCTAAATTCCCATCTCTATTCTCTAAATTCTAAACTTCAAGTTACACAGAATTCCTCATCAGTTTTGAGTCAAATACTTTTCTCTGAACCCATCAGATCTGACAAAGGGGTGGAATCATGTTATGTTCCTTTTTGTCATCCTATGGAGGAACAAAGGCAGGGAAATCTCTAGAAAAGGGATAGTGGGCAGAAATTCTATAGGTTTTTACTACAGCCCATCCCTGACATGCAAAACATACAATCCCCACCTTCACAAGGTTTACAGGGGACTAAGGCCTGTGCGGATCTGTAGAGCCCAATGGGATGACTGGCTGTAGAATTTCCTTCTTTCCTTCTCTGTTTCATAGCTGGGGATCTCACCACAGCCCAGGGATCCCTGACATGGCTTTTAGAGTCCAACCATGTGAGTCATGGTTTCTTCTTGAATTGCTACACTGGGATAAGAGAAGCAAAATCAACCTAGAGAGCAGATTGGTATCAGAAATTTGCTCAGTGAGAAGAGAATATGCAAGCTCAAGGCAAGGGGCACAAGTCCCATTCCAGAGGCTATATTCAGTGATGACTACAGCATATGCTATGCTTGTCTAGAGTTGAAAGAGAAAAATATAGCAACCACCAGACCTGAATAAAGTATGGGCACAGGTCACTGAATAGGGTTGGTGTGAATTTGAATGGAGTGTAGAATTTCTGACTTCTTTTTCTCCTCTGACTACACCCAGAATTAAACCCTGGATTCTCATACTATCATCAAGCATTCTAAATGTGTTTTATATTCAATTCTTAAATAAGTATCGGATTCTCAGGATCCCCTACAGGGTATTTGTGCTTTCCTTAGATCTCTGGTCATGTTCTGTACTGGTAATGGTGATTGGTAGTTGTGTTGATCAGTGATGGCTGTTAAATCTTAGAGGGATATGACAATAAATATTTAGTTTCCTCATGGGAGCCCTACCTCAAGCTGGAGTGGATTTGGGAGCTCTCAGCCTGCAAGGCAATGTGCCAATAGTGTGACCTCTGCCCCATGCCTATTTGTCCTGGGTGCCAGGCTGACCAGCCAGTGGTTACCTGGTAAGCTCTTGCCTCTGCTGGAAGAACAGAAAAGACATCTTATGAGCCTGTGCACACTTCAAGACTCTGCTTCATTATATTATTGTCTGCTAACATCCTCCCAACCAAAGCAAGTCTGATGGCCAAGCCCCAAATCAGCAGATTGGAAATGTACTCTTTGATGGGTAGAGACATGGAGTTTTGGCGGGTGACTGAACACTGACAATCTAAAGCCAATTGTTCCATCTACTGCTGTGGTTGCCTGAGCATCTTTATATGCAGTGAACTATTCCGCATACAGCAGTCTGATCTCCAGCAGTAAATATCACAGAACTCTGAGCATACAGGTAAATATGCGTATGGATAAATGGTTGGTGTTAGGATGTATTTAATTTGACTGGAAACTTTTAAATGTGACAGCTGTCTGTCAAAAGACTGAATCCTAACTCTAGCCCTATCCATCTTTCTTGTTTCTCTTGCAACATCTATTAAAACAGCTAACATATTTAGGGAATAGGGGACATCAATTGTCACACTTGGCACATTACAAGTGTTCTTTAATTCAATCTTCATAACAAGCTTATGAAGTTAAACATTGTCATTCCTATTTTACAGAGGAGAAAACTAAAGCTCAGGGCTCTTATAAATCCCCTCACTGTTACATGAAAATGTCTTTACTTAATGGATCGTATTCTGGAAAGGGGTCAATTAGGCAAAACCCCTCTTTCATTTGTTTTTCTAAGATATCTACCCCAATTGACTACTTAGATACTAGAAATTCATAACGTTTTTAGGAAGAAGTAATTTGGTACATATCTGAACCAAATCTGCATTTGTCCTGTTTACAAATACTTCTGGGAAAAAGGTGATCTTCCTTAGCCTCAGTGTACTCATCTGTGAATGGGTTCAGACACATTTATCTAATAAGGTTGGTGTGAGGATGAAATGGGAAAATACATGTAAATCCTTTAGTGCAGCACAACACCTACAACATGGGAATGGTTCAATAAATGCCAGCAATCGCCTTCAGCATCACTCTTGCCATAATCTTCTCCAGCAGCAGTATTTTCATGATTCGTCGTTACTGTCATAATCATCAGCTGCATGATCCTCATCATTATCACCATCATCATTGCTGTCACCTCCATCATAACCAACATCTTCCTCCTCCTCACCACCATCCTGTATCCCTCCCATCAACACCATTAATATCTGTCCAAAACTTTTGTATTCAGCGCAAAAATATAGTCAAGTTATCATGGAAACAGCTTTCATGGTGCTGAAAACAAAATGTCTTTGAAGCATCCTACTGATGCTTACTTACAGAGTGTCTAGGTTCTTCTAGGTATTTTACATCCTGGCTTACTGCTTTCCAGGTCATACTGTCAGAGTTGGGAAATGTGTCTTTTTTCAGCTTCATCTTTAGAGGCCATCTGGAAGCAAAGACATAGGAGAGAAAATAACGTTGCTCCAGGGGGCGTCTTAAGATAATCTTCCCGGAAAGCCATGTCCAATTCTGAATGTCTCTCTAGGAGTAAATACATGAATTAACACAGCTGCATAAATATTTCACTTATCTTATGCAGCTTCAGCAGGATTAATTATGCTCTAAAATTAGACCTGTAAAGAGCACAGTGCCAAGCAGTACCTAATTATTATGCATCCTTTAGAATGGAGTGTTTATCTCTTGTTATAGAGTAGTTTCAGTGGACGATTACAAGTCTAATGAGTGTCAAAAGTATAAAAAAATTTTCCTAATGAGCTGTGTAAATATAACCTTTGAGTGGACTATTTGGTTATTGGAGGGACCTCCTACATGAAGGCTGCCAGGCATTTCCCTAGGAGGAAGGGCTACTGATCTGCTTTGAGGGATACACAGAACCCCAAAATGACCTTACCTCCCTCTTCCTGTCTGCTTGTGTCCTTTCTGAAATGGTGAAGTACATCATGGGATCTTTGGTTCTCAGTAGTCTGGAAACAGTTATCACAGGTACTTTTCAGCATTGATTAGCACTAATGTCCAATATCTTTTTTTTTTTTTTTTTTTTTGGAAACAGACACCTTTCTATGCAATAATGTTTCAAGAAAAGGTTGTCACAGTTTTTTCTTCTTTCCTTCAAAGGGCTTACAGTACAGCTAGTTGATGGTGCACAAACTTAAAGTAGCAAACCTTAAAATAGAAATATATTTGAAATTATTCATATTTATGAATTCATATACCTCTTTACTCAGGTTTCTTGGGTAGTTAAGAGGGTGGTCACAGATATACAAGACATACAAATGTATTTTAAAGAGAAATGAATGGGCAGAATGAGTCATAAAGAAAACATGTAGTGATATTTAGACAAAGAATAGCATGGACCAGCACTAATGGAAGCCCCAGTGGTTTGCTCATTCAGCAGCTGGTAAATCTTTATTGGTACTGGATGGCTTCCTGACGCCTAAGACGTGTCACAAGTGAGAACACAAAGACTGTGTCAGTCTGCAACTTAAAGACTTGTTTCTGGCTTCAAAGTGGTGGTGAACAAGGATCTCTTAGGTCTCCTCTATCTCCTCTATCTAGGGTTTTGTGAATTTTTAAATTTTTTTATTAATTAGGTTTATTGGCACAATTTAGATATACATAACGAGCACATTCATCATATAGAATTTGTACTCATACATGATATATCTTGATTCTTATTTTTTCCCATTCCCCTCCCTTCAACCCTTCTTATCTCCTTATTTACAAAAAGCTTTCTTTCCATTTTAGCTTTTTTTCTTGCTTTTTTCTTTTCCCTTTCTTCCTTTCCCCTTCCCCCTTCCCTCCAGCCCCTTCCCATTTGAACATATTCTTCAAATACCGAATACTATCTGTGGTGTGAGAAACTGAAAGTGTAAATGTCTTATATGGTTTTGAAATTTAGAGATAGAAGGTATATCATGGAAGTCAAAACCCCTCATGTGTATAGGAGCCAGCAAAAAGACGCTGAGGGAATGAGACCATTTAATTATGTTATTCAGAGGCAAGTTGTGCTAAGAAAAAAAAAGAAAATTATTTTTGAGCCTCCACTCCATGATCTAGTACCATATTCTGGGCATATTTGCTATGCCAAGTATATCAAATATGACACCCGAGTAACTTTTCATGTAACATCATGGAGTAGCCCTTACTATCTCCGTTTTGCAGAGTAGGAAAATGAGGCTGAGTTCAATTAGGTGAGGCATAGTAGCATGGTTCAAATTGCCCATCTGGGGGGATCTTGTTTAAAGCAAAGATTTTATTTCTCTAAGTCTGGAGTGGTACTCAGGGTTTTGCATTTCTGACAAGCTCATAGGTGATGTTGTTGGACTATGGCCAACACCCTGCATAGATTTGTATTGATGGAAAAATCGAACCAAGTTCATCTAAT